GTATGTGTCTAAGTGGATTATACATCAGCTCACTTCACCAATCCAATAGGTTATTTGTAGCTCAAATGATGCATAAAATGATTATTTGGAGACCAAGAGGGGTTTTAATCCCCAACAGCTAGGAATACAGTGAAATATCCTCCCCTGTTTGACCATAACACATACATAACACATATATATTAAGTCTCTATGGCCATATAGACTCTGAAAACATATATTGTTTTGATGTTCCTGTAACTGTCATGGTTTTTTCCCCAGAGAATGCTGGGAAATGGAGTTTGGGGAGGGGGTGATGGGGTTTTGTCCAAAATCTTTCTTTACGAAATTTCCAGATTTCTCTGATGGCAGGGGAGGGAGAACGACTAGTAAAAAGGCCCTAACCCAGCTTTCCCATGTTCAATGTGTTGGGGCCTCAGTTAGATTTCCACATTAGAGTCCCAAGATCTGATCCAGCAGTGAATGATATGGCCTTGTTTGCACTTCAGTTTGCTTTCAATATGCAGCCTTTACATCTCTGATGAATGCAAGCAAGAGGAGGCATGTCTGTAGCAAAATCTTTTTAAAACATCTGGTTTGAAAGATTAGTTTCTCCAACGAGAAACATCCTGTCTGAGATGGATCTGATGGCAGGGATCCAGTGATCAATGAAACAAAATAAATGCAGTTTATTGCAAGAGGCCTGGAATCAGGCATCTGGGGAAATGTTTGGGTTACAAATGCTTAAGAAGCAAGCCCCTTTTATAGTTTAAAGACCTAATTTCTGCCATAGAAAATGGGGATGGCGAGAAGAGAAGGGAGACATTTTGAAACATCATCTGTGTAGATGTTCCCTAACTTTTCTCTTCTCAGTTCTTCAGGATCAATAAACTAGCATGTTTTAAAGGACATCATAGATTTTGTAAGGAAATAGAAAATAAAATGTACACTACATTCCCTAAACCTGATGCTCTCCATATGTGTTGGACTATATTTTTCATCATCCAGTGGCTGAGCTAGAGACACCACCCCATATAATTCGAAGACAACAAATGGGAAAAGGTTCTGCTACGCCATATGTTCTCCTGACTATTTATAAATCTACTGTTCCTTTTACAACTCAGAGAGGGATGTTTAGTATGTCTGCCTTTTTTCACAATACAGTGATGTAGAGGTGACTGCAAGAAGTTTGCCCAGATGACAGGAACGGTATGTTGAAGAAAGAGGGGTCAAAAGATACTCCAAATTTTTCAGATCATGGACACATCTACAAGGGTATCACCTTAGAGACCTGACTGTGTTTCACATGCTCTGTTCATATCTATCCTTTTTATTTTCTCCTTTTCTCCCCACACTACTATCTGTATCTCTTTTGCCAGTGATCTTGCACATATAGAAATTAAACTGGCAGATGGAATGCCAGAGTTATTCAGCTCTTTCAGGTAAGTGGAAGAGGATTCAAGGGATTTCTTTCTTTCTTTTCTCCTTCACAGGGAAGCCTAGAGGGAATCATTGACACCTCAAAGCTTTAGCCACCAAGAAAAGAAGCCTAGTGTGATCCAGGAGTCACCTTCTTCAGGGCAAAGAAAACATGTTCTTGACATACCTCCTTGGACATCCAACCATTCTTTTACCTACTGTGCTGGGAAGCTTTCTTTTCTTTTACTGCCTTCTTCCTCCCCTGTTACTGCTCAAATGGCAACAAGATCATGCAGGTCTCTCCTGTTGCACTGGGCTTCCACCCCATCATCTCCAGCCAAAGGTCAGGATACCTGCCTGATAGTCCAGCATGGCTGAAATCAGCTTCACTGCTTTCCTCCATCCCTATATGCAGCCGCAGCAGCCACAGGATTGCTACTTGGCTGGTTGCGAGGCCTTTTGCAGAAGCCAGATTAAGGAAAAGGCTAAACTACAGCCAAGTCTTCTCCATGACAAGCTTGTTCTTTAAACACTTAGAGGAGCATTCAGTCATGTGATGCCCCTACTTGTAGGCTGAAGAATGACTCCAGAGACAGAGCAGTCATTAGGCTAAGACAAAGAGTCCAGTCTTAACTTGGTGCATCCTCTTTTCCTGTATTCTGAATTAATTATTTATACACACACCGTTTCTTTCTGCTTTTTTTTTAAAGAGGCAACACTAGTGCTCTTGTGCTTTGCTGCCTGAGGCATGATAGTCCATCTGTTGAAAAAAAGGAGGGCTCTTACACCTTTTAAGAAGAGAAAATTTGGGTTGATCACATGGCAAATTGAATCTGTTGACCTTTCTGCTAAGAAACCAAAGAGGAACACTAATCAGGAGCTACAACAGAGATGTACAATCATTCTGGGATAGTACGGAGGGGGAGCTGGACTGACCTTAATGGAACCTTTCAAGGGCTGTACGAATAGATACCCACCCTTTCACGCACATTCTCATGATTCCGTCATTTCTCAGTAAACTAACGCAGGCAAGATTGATGGTAACAGCAATCTAGATTAACAGGCAGAAAATGAAGGGCCCCTTCCTTCAGTGATTCTACAGGATGAGGTCCAGATGACAAAATTGAAATTGAACATCCTGTCAGCTTCTTCTGATGTCCTTTTGCCTGGTATTCTACAGCACCTATAGCTCACCTTCAAAACATTTATCCAGCTATATTCCAACACTCAACTCCAGCACTATGGGGAATTTAGGAAAATGACACCAGAGTCTGAGAGAATATTTAAAATGAGAAAGGCTCCCCAGGCTGTCTGATTCATCAGGTGGACTGAATCATCAGGTGGAACAAGGAAACAATGGTACGGTGCTGGGACCTGTGGCAGACTTGGATTTGCCAACAACATGATCCGTCCTGCATCATCACCTTCATCAAAGCCTGCTGCTGTAGAAACCTGCATCCCATCCTCAGCATAAGTTAACATTTACTTGCCACTCTGATCTGCTCCTGTTCATGGATTATCCTATTTATCTCAAGCAGCACAATGTCTTGCAGTGGCTGCATCTCAGGAAAAACATTTCTCAACTGCAGCTTCTTTACATACACCTGAGCGGGAGTAGGTTGGATCTTGGATTGGTCCTTCACTCTCAAGGCAGACTGCTGCCCTCTCAGTTCCACAGAAGAGGCCATTCATAGGTGAGAAGGGTTTATGAAAGACTCAGAAGAATCTTCTGCCTCTTTCCATAAAAAAGGAAAGGATCTTCTGACCTAGAGTTTAGGTCACTCATAAACCTTGAGATGGAGAGACCACAGCATACGGAAGGTCCCAGGTTTAATCCTAAACATGTGCCATTTATAAGGTAATTGAAGATGTTGAGAAAAGCCTTTAACACCAAGCCTGGACAGTGGCTGTCAGTCACAGTGGAATCAGGGATGGGGTCTCCATGCATTGATGAACTCCAGCTACCATTAACTGGAGCCATCACCACCAATGATAAAAGTGACAGTGGTTGGCAAGAAAGCCAAGTGGCTATACTCCAAACATTTTGGTCTGCAGCTCCCATAGTCCTCTGCTATTTGCCATGGTGGCTGAGGCTGATGGGAGTCCAAGTCCAAAACCTCTAGAGACACTTGAATGTTGCCTCCTCAGGCCTTTATTCATAACAGCTCAGACCAGGAACATTTTTAAAGAAAACATTTATTTACACTTTTCAGCAAGTACAAAGTATTATACACAGTCTGGATCAACCTAAACTTTCCTTAGTATTTATTTTAATTATCAGTATAATTATTATTAGTATTATGAAACATAAGGCGCTTTCTCTATAATGGGTTTGGGGCAATGGGCATCGTAGCATGCCAAGGGTGCTTTTTAAACCAATCTTCCTTCATTCCTTCCTCTCTCTCTTTTTCTCATCCCCCTCAACCACCCCATTCCACATAACTGTTCATTTCCTGCCAGACAGAGAGGTTGGGACAAAACTGAAGGCTGGGTTTCCTTGAAAGGGGAGCCCTTATTACCATGGCAAATAAATTACTGACAGCGCTAACTTTGCCTGGGGGACAGCTGGGGGTGGGCTGCTTTTTCACTGCAGAGGGTTTGTCCTTAAGATAATAAATATATATTTTCTTTTGCAGAGTAATTTCCAGGGGGTAGGATAGACAGATGATTGACCATCCAAGATAAGAGCCAGCCATGGCCAAAAAGTGCCCCCCCACACACACACACATGGGCACTCACACATACATACTTCTCTTTTCTTAGTCCACGTAAGTGTTTGTTCTGGTTTCCATATAAATAACCAAGGTCCAGTCTTTCTCTCCCCCTCCCCCCATATTAACAGTGCTCGGCATCTTGGTGCATAAATAAATTAAATTATTAACATTTCTTACAAATAATAATAATAATAACAATAATAACAATAATAATTTTTAAAAAGGTGACTCTCTATTCCTTCTTAGTTTTCCCCGAATGGACCGTAAGCAACAGGGGTAGCAGGCGAGGCCGGGGCACCTCAGGAATCCTGGGGCAGAAACACGACTTCGCAGGGGCATCCGGCCAGGCCTTCCCCCAAATGTGACCTACCCTCCCCAACAAACCCTGCTGGAGAAAGGGAAGAGGGCTGTCCCCGGCTTTCCGGCCTAAAGTCTCCTCCCCACCCGCGGCTAAGGTCCGGCTCGCGTTCGATTGCCAAGTTCCTCGACTGAGGAAAGTCGGGCGAAAGCAGCGGTCTCGGCTTCCTTCCTCCACCAACCTTGGAGAAGTTCGCTCTGGCTGTCGGGGAAGTCTGGGGCTGGGAGGAGCGCCGGGGCCAGGCTCCGTCCAAGCCGCTGGAGCTGGAGGGCGGGGGCGGAGGCCCCGGGCCGAGAGAAGCGCCCTTCGCCCGCGAGCCTTGCAGCCGCGCGGGGGACACGGACGGCTCCGCCCAGGTCCGCGGCCAGCAGGGCAGCGAGACGGTGTGTGAGGCGGGGCATCGCTCGTCGCCTCCCCCTTCCTCGAGGCGACCCTGCTCACCCCTTCCGCTGCGGTTCGGGCCGTGCAGGGAGGGGCGGAGGACGGGCCTGCCTGCCTCTCCTCCCGAGGCCCACCCGCCCGGACGACCATCTTTACACCAAGGAAGTGACGGGGGGGATCTTGGAGCCTTCGTCTTCCCAGGGCTGGAGGTTCTGGAGCGCGAAGAGCGAGGAGTTGTGGAGACAGAGCGGGTCGGGCTGGATCGAGTCGTTCAGCGACTTCTGGAAGGCGTCGTGCTGAAGTTGCAGCATCAGTCGGCTCGCCTGTTGCCGCTCGGCTACCCGCTCCTCCGCCGTCTGCCTCCTGCGGGCGCCAAG